GCAATTTTCGATCATTGAGTGAGATGTTATTGATGTTTTCAAAGTTTTTGATATCATTGCAACATTCAATCCAAATGGATTTTATATGGGAAAATGCATGATGGTAGATAGAGAACAGTAGACCGTTTGTTAATTGGGTATTGTTAATAAGGCAGTGTATTTTTTTGAATAAGGAGTGAGGTACAATTCCTTTGATTAGATCAATAAAGTTAAAAGAGGCGGGTTGATCATTTAAGAACCAGATGTCTGAATCTAAAAGATCCGTAAAGTCTTGTATATCTGAGGTCAATGCAGTGAGATGTTATATGAAGAAACTTTTGGTTGAGGCTATAACTTCGATGACTTAGTGTTTAATTTTGATACAAGTCCAAATGTAATTAAAGGTTTCATCACTACTCGAACATCTAGGACACTTCTATGATTGGTCATATAAGTTGGAGTGTCTTGTTTTGAGGATTTCAATGGTAGGGAGCAGTTCAAGCATAAGCTTAGTTTTAAATTTGTGAATGGAAGAAGCTTTGAAGGATGTATAAGAGTTATTTTCATTGTCATTGAGAAAGAAAAAGGTACGAATTTAAGTTAGAATATTATTTTAGATCCCACGTATAAATAAATTTTTTCAATTACTTATTTTATGAAATATATAGTTGCAATCTAGAATAAAAATCTAATACTTAATTCATTATAGATTAATAGTAAAATAAATACATATTAATAAATATTAACTTAAATTATAAGTAAAAAAAATATAAAAATATAAGTTAAATAATATAGAAATATATAATTCTATGCTTACATTTTAGATTAATTATTATTATTAAAAAACTTCTTATTTTTTTTATAAATTATAAATAAATAATAATAATAAATATATTTTTTATTTTTATTACTTAATTAATAGAAAATAATTAGCATTTTTATTTAATATTATTTATAGTCAGAACTTGATTTAATGATCGTTCTAATTTATTATAAATATTTTGAAAAAATAATAATAATATTATATTTAAATTTAATAAAATTTTTATTTTATTATATTAATTTAACTAATAATAATAATTTTATTATTATTTATATATTATTTATATAAAAAATTAATTAAATATAAATTATTTTCTTATTTAAAATGGCTTTAAAAATTTAATTTTAATTATTTTATAAAAAAAAAAAAAATAATATATTTAATATATTTAAATATTTTTATAAAATATTAAAAAAAAAACCTCTAGTTTTTTTAATATAAATATAATAATTAAATTAAAATATAAAAAGTTTTATAATAGATTAGATTTTAAATTTTATAAAAATTTATTAAAATCATAATTATTAATTAAGATCAAAATATTTAAAATTATTTATTTTAAAAAATTAATATAAATAGCAAATTTTTTTAAAAAAATTATTTTATTAAATATAAATATAAATATAAATTTATTTTAATTTTATAAAATTTATATTTTTAATTAATAAATATAAAAATAATAATTTATATTAGAAAATTTGCAAAAGTTATTAAATTAATTATATATAGATCAATCATTTAGAAAATAAATTTGAATCAATATGATTAATATATTACATTAAATAAATTAAAATAATTTATTGAATTTATAAGATTTACTTGATTTAATAAGATTAATTCTTAAATTTTTTGAATATAATTATTAATTTTGTTTTAATCATTATTTTTTAGTATTTAAATTATTTTTATTATATTTTATATATTTATTTTATTTAGTTATTTTATAGATTAATAAATGATTAATTATAGTATAATAATTTTATATAAAATGTATCATATTTACTTGAATTATAAATTACATTTAAGAAACTTAAGAATTCTAATAATTTAAATCTTTTTAGTAAATTTTAAATTATAAATAAAGGAATCAATAAAACCTATATCAATACTTTTTTTTTAATATTACCTCTTATTTTAAATTTGATTGTAACATATTATACTACATAATTTAAAAAAATTTATTTTGTTTTTTAATATAAACATAGTTTCTATTAGTTTTTTAAAAAATTTATATAATATTATATAATATAAATTTTAAAATTATATATATCATATTTAAACTTATTACATATTTTTATTTTATAAAATTTTATATTATTATTTATATATGTAATTAGCATAAATCTTTTTATATACTATTTTTTTTTAATAATAAAATAATATTTTTTAAAATTTTTTTTTATAAACATTTTTTTAAATATTATAATTTATCACCTATGTGATTTGTCAGGATTTATTACTAGCCTCTATTTGTTATGTGATCTGCATAATCTTATATTATGTAATTAATATAATAATATATATAATATAATTATGTGAATTAGCCTTTTTATTAGTCTTTTTGATCAAATTGATCAGTAATTCTTACATTTTCTCTTTCTCAATATTTTCACTTTAACTTATCCTTTCTTTATTATTAACTATTAAAACTCTTTTCTTTTTTATTAATATCAAATGTAAATTTTTTTTTATCATTATTATATATGAATCTTATGGAAAAAGAAGACACACAAAATTTGAAATATGTATAAGGTATGTTTCTTAGCTTAGAATAGCTTAAGATTAGGGTTAAGAGAGTGAGTTTAGGATTAATATTGAATTTAGAGTAGCTTAAGGTTAGGGTAAGAAAAGTTAGTTTAGGTTAAGTACATTGTCTTTTGAGAAATGTTAGATTTGGAGTAGCTTAGGATTAGGGAAAGGAAAATTAGTTTAGAATTAGAATAGCTTAGGTTAGATTTAAGGTTAGGGTAAGGAAAATTAGTTTAGAGTTAAACAAGGCTTTACAATCTAATTCTAAATCAGAGCAGCTTATTAACTTATTACAAGAATTTACAGAAGATAGGGAATCAGATTTGAATGAATTAAATGAAATTGATCAAAAAAATAAAATAAGTGATAAAAAGAATATGATCTTTCGATACTAGTATTATAAAATCTAAAATAACAATATGGTAAAGGATGATTTTAGGTATTAAAAAATTCAAATTATCTAATAAAGCTTCTAAACCTAAGTTATAAACTTAACGATATTGCAAAAAATGTGAAAAGTTGACCATTATCAAAAAAATTGTAAGGTAATATTGATGTATTTTTTTTACTTATATTATTGTTTCTCATCTTAACTTTATTACTATATCTTTAGGAACAAGAAGTATAACATTTATTTAGTTGGAAAAATGTGATAATTAATTAGAATGTATAATAGAAAGAATGTATTAATAGAAAATGTATAAAAAAATATAATATATAAAAAATATCATAATATTAATTATAATTGTTAATACTTAATTTTACAATTTATTATTAATAAAATTACATGATAAATTTGCTAAACATGTAACATTTAAGAATTGATGATATATCACTATAGAGATAAAAAATAAAACCTTATTAATTTTATTAATAATTTAGATAAATTATAAATAATAATACTTATTGTATATTAATATTTTTTAAAATTTTTATTTTTCTTTAGTTATTTATTATTTTTACTTTTATTAATTAATTTTAAATTTTTTATTAATCTTTGTATTACTTTATTTTAATAATAATTTTATTAACTTTATATAATTTTTTAATAAATAAAGATTATATTACTTAATACTGATTCAAAAAAAATAGAAGGTTTATTAAAATTAAATAAAATTTAAAATTTATATTAATAATTTTACTTAAAAAATTTAAATATAAAGTTAAAATTTAGTATATTATTTGAAAATTAATATATTATATTATTTATAAATATTTAAAATCATATATTTATAAACTATAAGGATCTATTAATTAAGTAATAAAATACTACTTTATAGTATATATAATATTATTGAAAATTTAAAGGGTAATAATATTTTTTATATAATATATAAAATAAAATAACAAATAAATAATTAATTAAAGTAATAAAGGCTATTAATAAAGATATTAAATAATAATTCTTCAAAAATAAATAGAAATAAAGAAATATATACATATTTATAAATATAATAAATAATAATAAAAATGTAAAAATAATAGTAATGATAATACAAAAAGGTATAAATGTAAAGAAAATAAATAATTTAAATGTTATAGCAAAATATTTTAGGTTTAATATTATAGTTTAGGATTTATTAAAGCTAAAAAATTAAAATTATTTAAATATTTTAAATCTAATAATATTTGTTTTATTTGCTAAATTATTATTAGATATTAAAACTTTACTTATTAAAAAAAGTATAAGTTAAATTCTCATAGGATTTTTAAGTTTATTCTCTAGATTTTGTAGAATTTATAGTGTTTATTGAATCTAATAGATTCATTCATTCATATCTTAGATTAAAATTTAAATTATATTATCTTTAAATTAGTTTAATAAATTTATTAATGGTTATAAGCACGTGACTAGTATGTATAAGCTTATGATCATGTGATATATGTTTCTGCAGATAGCAAAATAAAAAATTTGTGTGAATGCTATGTGCGGCATTATATAAAATTGCAATTTCAAATGTGCAAAAGTTAATTGAATTAAAATCTAAAGATATTAATAAAGAATATAGAGCGCTAATTATGGCAATAAATATAATTTTATAATGAATTTAAGCAAAACTTTTATAATAATCCACAACTAAAAATTTATTTTGAACTTGTATGGATCAATTAGACTTGTTAATATGAATTACTACACAAATGAGTGAAGTTTTGGAATATTTAAAGATATAACAAATCAAGGATTTTAAATCGATGATTTTTTTTTTAGTAGAAGATATGATACAATTACATGGAAATTATTATTTGAATAATCTTCACAGAAACACGATTTAAAATTAAATGTTTATGTTTACTTTTAATATAATTAGTACCGCATGATAACATACTCAAATCTTGTTTTTCATTTAAAATTTATTATATTTTCATTTTGGAATATTGTAAAATAAAAATGTAATATAATATACATGTATGTAAAAGCATACAAAGGATCGCTATTCGAGATGTCTTACTAAGTATTATTGTAGCAAAGAGTGTCAAAAGAAAGATTATGCCAATCATGCGTTTGACTATCCTCTAAGGTTGGTGGATGACCTTTTTTAAGACGTTTATGCCAATTTGATATCCACGAAGTCGGCGGTACTACATGAATATAGTTTTAATAACTGCTTAAATACTCAGGTACGATCAAATCTTTTAGTCTTACAGTAGCGGTCATAAGTATCTGACTGCCTGAGATCGTCCAAAATTATTATATAACTACCCCTTAAATTTTCCAGAAATATAATTTAACACAATACATGATCACTTGTAAATTTATAAGTGTCGATGATACAAAAAAAAAATTTAGATGATCATTAAACTTTCGCTTGAAAAATGGAACTTT